CAGTCAGAATTTTTATACTTGTATTCTCATAATTAAATCTGAAAAATTGAAAGGGCGCAATATTCGTAAAGTTGTGTCAATGACAATATTCGTTTTTAATTTACTTTAGAACAAACTTTTATTGTCGGCCGGTATGTCTTTTAGTTCTTGCCTCTTATGTTTGTTTCGGTAATATCGCCAATATGAATTGTGTCAAATAAGCTCTATCTCAGGTGCAAGATTTATCAATCATTATGCCAAGTTAACATTTAATAAATTTTTGTGGTGTTAGAAAATGCATGTTTTCCCTTGTAAGTTATTGATTTGAGAGCGAAAACGTCTATGAAATAAACCAAGCGTTTTATCTACCTACTTATGTACTAATGAGCTTCGGAACTTCTAAAAGATTTGGTAGAAGAGCATTTAGTCGTGAGAATATCACACAAAAAAAAGTGTAGAAAAAAATGAATACCACTTGGAGTGATCCTAGAATGCATGTGAGTTAGAGCACAGTTTTTTTGTTTAGTGGTTAAAACAGCGCACAATTCTGCCTTTCGCTGAATTTTTCATACGTAGAACCACTGCTAAGCAATGAGTATTCCTCGCTGTTTTTCAACTTCAATTTTAGATGATATTAGAAAACATGAAAGAGAAGAAAACTTAAATGTTTATCTACAATATATATATCTGCCTGAGAAAGCTCTAAGAAACACCACTTTCTGTTGTTATGTAGAAATGGGGATATATCCGTACCTTGTTTTCTTTCAATTTCTCCTCAGATTATATTCCTATTCTGAAAAATTCCCCAACAACAAACTCTACCGAAAAACTGGGAGATCTTTCAGGTTGTTATTTCAGTGCTCGCAAACACAGGAAACTCATCAAAACTTGAAAATATCGTCAAAAAATACCCCCCCACTGGTTGATAATTGTGTTTGCCAACATCTGCTGCTCTCGATTCTTTTATTGAATGACAGATGAACTCAAACTGCAAACCGCGGCTCGATTTCTACCGCAACTTTAAGACTTAAATCAAGTCAATGAAAGTAAACCTTTCTGCGGCACATATCTAAGCGCGATTTTAAACAGGGATTAAAGATGACTAGTTTTCGTGGTTTTAATCGTCTGTTTATTTGCATTCTGTGGGCACGAAAGCTCCGCATGTTTTGATACTATTCCACGGGAGTTAGAAATCTAATTTTTTTTTCTTCAAGTTGCACGCTGTGTTTCTTATCTTTTAAAATCAATTGTTTTCTTGCTTGGATAGAATTTTTGAACATTTTCTTCTCCAGTCTCTATTGAACGAGTCTGGGTGGTCCACAGAATATTTGACACTGTACGGTTCGAACCACCTTAGATTGACCTCACAAAATTACTGCTTGTTCACAGTATTCAAACGCGATGTACCAGCCAGGTTGGCAACTATTTTCTAAACGCATATAGTAAATATATTATAAAGGCCCTTTGGCTGACATAATTCTTGGGAAACAAACAGGCATCATCTAAGTTTCTCTTAGAGACAAATACAAAGATGAAGAATACAGAGGAACAAAAACAAGGCCTAGGAGAAACCATTGCGAACAGGCAATCAGTTTGGCAAATAAACCGCGGTAACCACTGTGCGCAAGCAATTCTACGATAAACTATTTTCTGCAGGAATTTTGCAACCAGAATACGTATACAAGAAGATATCTCTTCAAAATCAATTAGGATTAACACCCGTAACGAGCTAACGACACTTAAAGAAAACAAAAAAATTAGCTTCGACGGATAATTAGAATGCGATGGTTAACTTGTTTAAAAAGGCCTTGGACTAGGATTGGGAAGGCATCCACCCAAGCTCATAAAAACTAATTTTAGCTCTCAATTTTTAAACCCCTGGGGAGTAAGTGTAATATTTCAGCTTATGCTTCACTGAGAACTCGTGCATAGATTAAATTTCTTTGACTGTTTTCTTGTATTAAAAACAAGTTTCTATTTTCGTGCAATATTGCGACCTATCATACCTTGTACGAAATTCTGTTTCTAACCATTTATACTGCATTATCGTAGTAGGGTAGGACTAGAACGGAACATGTACGAACCATGCGAGTAGTTCACCCAATAAATCCAACCCATCCCATTGATTGAATCACAACGATGGAACTGTCCTCAGAATTGTAAAACTTTGAGACTACTGTATGTGACGAAAATTTAAGTCTGGGAGATGGCAGATGTTTCAATTCGTTATAATGTTAAGTAAAGCCCATTCAGTCCTATATATAATTGCGAGATAGGTCAGCGAATCGTGCAACCAAAACGCGAATGTTTCATAAGAGTTTAGTAATTTAGTTTGTGTGATAACTTCCTCAAAAAACTGGTTACATAAATTTTCCATTATTAATTTCATGCAAAAGCATCAATTCATCGCTGAACAGTAAGATAATGAGGCAAAAGATAAACATTCTCAGAGGCAATTTTATGAGAAATGTATAGCGAAAAACAAGGAGACATGAAATTGTCATCTCAGAAACAAAATGATAAATGAGCTTAAAATTTTTCTTTCCTTATTGTAACGAAATATGCCAAAATGCAAATTTCATTACAAATGCAGTTCCCAATGAAAAGTCTTCCGTAGATTTTACGCAGGATAGAGATGGATCAGATACAATTATTACTGCTGTTGTTGCTTTGGTTGCTGTTGCTATGTTGCTTCTGTTGTCAGAGGTAGAGTTGCATGACCAAATATGATCATTTCAAAGATGACGTCACTATTGGTAAAAACAATCACATCTCTGACTCAGTCGTTTTTTTAAAAGAAGGAAACAAAGAAAATGGAAGCGATATTTCAAAGTTTATTTAGAACGGAGACATGAGACCAAGAGATCTCTAAATGAGAGTTAAGTAGCTTATAGCTTCCAGCCTTTGCGTTTTTATCAACGAAGGCTTGGAAACACTCACGTATCATGTCAGTGATGAATTTATCCATAACCCCATTTTCCTACTTTTTTCTGATTTTTCTTTTTCTATAGAAAAGAAGTAACAAATAAATTTCCCATCAACAAAACAATCCATGTTGGATACTTTATTCAAAGCAAACAGCTGGACTTGTTTTGTGCCTTTTACGTCTGTGGACTCTCAAATAACTCCTTATGGAAGGCATATTTTGTCCAAGAGTAGTAAAATTCAATGAATATGCGATTGGAAACAGTCTGTAATTCAGTGATGTACATAATAGTAATAATTGTCTTATTTTTTTTTAACTATTGCGTGCATGTATCCCTCTGTTTAACAAAGAGTTTGAAAATTGACAGCAATGTTTTTCATTTTGCGGGATACAAATAACAGTTTTTACAAAGCTATTGTCTAAAACATCAGTTTGGTGAAATTAGATTGAGTTAGAGTTTTATTAGTTCTTTACACTCATGCATAGTCGGCAGAAAAATAGTTATTTTCATTACAGGCCCCACATGGAAACGTTTTAAAGCAAAGTCTGATGTCGTAAAATCAGATTTACGTGCGAGGCACACTCCGTATCATCTCTACAAGTTTTTTGTTCAAATTTAACTGAGCAGATGTGATGAAAAACATTTAACATACTTGATTGGTCTTGATTTAGTATGTTGGGCAAGCATGTATTACACGATTAACAATTTTCAATTCCCAATTCCTGTATAAAAATTCGATTTTGAGGAAGGTTTCTTCCTAACTGACATATGATACAATGTGTTACCAAGGGCCCGTTTCTCAAAAGTCCGGATAACTTAACGGGCCCGAAGCCATGTTCTAAAATCAAAATCTAAAGGATAGGAAGGCAGGTTCTGGCACCCAAACCAGTCTTTTTTGTTTCTCTAGCTGATAGCTTTATTGTATAATTTTCAAAACTTTTGGATCCCCATCTTGAATGAAAACATAACAGCTTTACGGGCCCGTTAAGTTACCGGGACTTTGGAGAAACGGGCCCCAGGAGTCCATGGGCTTTTGGTGTTAATCCCGCTCATTTTTGTGCCTTTAATTTCGGTTAACTCTCAAAAAGATGTTCAGGAGATAAGTGGTGTCTCATCCACATTTAAATTGTCGAACAAAAAAACTTCTCTAGAAGGAAAAGGTGCTTGATATTCAAAATTTTTCGTTTTTCAAATTTTGTAAGTAAGCAATCCCACATATGCAAATTTTTTTAACCATTTGTTTTCTTAAGCAATTAATCCTGATACCTTGAACACGGTCCAAATTTGAATAATGCTTATTACTATCGTCTTCTTACAACAATTTTGTTAAATAAACGATTATCGAACTGCATGCGTTTTCAAGTACCACGAAAGTTTCAACAAAAATTACCGATCTATTTAGATAGCGCACGGATTCGGCCATTTTTTTTTCTTTTTTTGAACGATATGATTAAAAGGTTAATCAAAACACTTAAGGAAACAGCTCGAGCGCCTTCTTTACATAATGTTATTAACCAGATTACAAACCGTAGATCGCCCGGCTAACAGCTGCCTCGGACTCTCGCTCAATTCCCTTTAATTTTCAACCAGTTTTGTCCACTTCTATTCCTCTTAGACCCAAGTGACTGTGAAAGTTTCTACTGTAGTTTTTCCCTTGTTAGAGACTAGCTCATCATCTCCCGAAGTTGCTTATTCAATAGGAGAAATATAGGATATTACATGGCCGCTTGGGGATACGAATCTTATCTTCTCGTGCTGAAAGTATCTCTCACGAGTGAGCGCAGCGAACGAGTGAGAGATACTTTCAGCACGAGAAGATAAAATTCGTATCCCCAAGCGGCCATGTAATGTTCTGTTTATTATATAGATACTGATGAAATTTGCTCATAAAAGACAACGTTTTTATTCATTTTCGAAACAACAATTGGGTAATTATGTTGGTAACCATGGCCACACCAATATCCTCACACCGTCGTGAAAGATAAAAAAAGTATCTTCACTGCGCACGGTGAAGTTATGAATTTTTAGTAAAAGGAGAAATCCTGGTATTTCATCAGTATCTATATAATAAATTTCAAATAAGCGGACACTTGCTCTAGCTTTCAGTAACACACCACCACGAATCTAACGAGAGCTGGTTCTTGCAAAGGATATTTTTTGTATCTGTGCTATTCGTTGGGTGATCTGAAATGATATTTTCTGTTCTGTGCAGTGCTTCGCATCGTAGCTCGACGACTGGTCATATAACGGCTGCCTCGCATGAACGGCAACTGCTTGCTTTCCGATGAACAAATGTTTAAGCAACCGGAGCGAAAATCGTTGCTCATCGCTGAAAGAATTACCGGGTTGATCACGTGCTTTATGTAGTACATCGCCAATGTAATAAGGTTTACATACATGAAGTCCGGCTTCAACGTTGTTTCTGGGCTAAATTCATGCAGCAACATAATCACGCCACGAGGAAGATAGCAAATTTGAAAAGCCAACATCAACACCACTAACATCCTAACCAAGTGCTTTCTCTGTCGGACTCGATCATTGATTGTCTTTCTCATGGAAGAGTTCGGCACCTGCATTTCGTCTTTAGCTCTGAGCAAACGAATGATGTCGAAGTAAGCCACGCTCTGGACCACCAATGGTAAGGTAATGAACAAAATCACAAGGTACACCTCGTATGCGATTCTGTAACCATCACTGGAGAAAACTGGAAAACAATAGAACAGCCTATCGGGAAACAAAGTGACCTTGATGAAGAGCAGCATCGGAACACCGGCTGTCGCATAACAGGCCACCCACATTACTGGAACTATCATACTGACGCGTCGGAGAGAAAGGGTCGGCTTGAATGGTGAGGCAATGGCTCGATGCCTCTCCACGGCGATCACAGTCTGTGTGACAACTGATACACATACGAAAACATCTTGGAGGGGAAACAAAATTTGGCACAGCGCGTCTCCGAAAGGCCAACCAAGATAAAACTCGATGATTCTTAATGGCGCCGCAAGAACACAAACTCCTAGGTCTGCAGCACAGATGTTTGCGATAAGTAAATTGCATGGTGTTCTCATTTCCCACCAACGAGATAGTGTCGCCACTATGAGGGTATTTCCAACTAAACCAACCACGATAATTAAGGAGAAGAAGAGCGTACCAAGGATAACGTAAACTTGAGATACCCCTGTGACTGGCGGTGCCGTTGTCGCATTTGGTGTCGCATCTGGTGGAAACCAGGTACTAGCATTTATCGTCAAATTCCACATGTGAAATGTCGAGTTTGCAGTCATTCTGGTAACTCGATATATTGGGAATTTTTGCCTAAAATCACTATCTAGAGCTGCGACAAATCGGATCAGCTGCCGCGGTCGACAGAATGAGGTGAAAATCGATTTTTTGGCGCCGTTGCGTTTATATTTAACGCGTTATTTGATGAGGCGGCCCAATATCGATTGCTTTGATGTCAAAAAGAAGAATAGACGATGGATGGACGCGTGTCCCACCAATGACAAAACTTGAACCGAGGACGCTAATGAAGATTTCTATCAGTGCATGCCCTTCGCAAACTTAAGTTTAGAGAGACGGTCCTTTAGAAAAAACTCTGATAACAAGAAGGATAATCCGCCTTTTTTCTCAAGAATTGCACAGCGAAGAAGTGTGGTTGCAAAGGTTTGAGCGAAAAGAGATGGACAATAACAGTGAAATGTTGATGGGATGTGCAAATAGCATTCTACCCAAAACAATTTAATGTGAAAAACCTATATAATTAGTTCGTCTTTTAGCACCTCTGATAATTTAGTAAGGACAATTGCAATATTACAGTTTAGTAGATTTTTAAGATATTGAAAATTATGGAGGAAGTTAAAATTAACATTAATTCAAGTTATCCCACAAGTCGCGCGGAAAACTGCGTTCGTATTGAGGAGAATTTTTTTTTTTCTGGCACAGATGTGCGCCAAGTATGTAAACAATATTTTCCGTCTCATTTGTTTTGTCGGGACTAAGGTAAACAAAATGTCTTTCACAAGTATCCTTGTTATTACTGCTCGAAGAGCGGAGCATAGGAAGGGAACTCCCCGACCCTTTTTTCATAGCAATTTGAAAAATATCAGATATATGAGGAATAAAAGCCTTTCCCGCTCCGAGGATGGCTATAAATGAGGTTAGGGTTTTAAAGAACGAATAAAAAAAACAATGGTAAATTTTGAAACAATTGTCAATAGGAAACTTCTATCAGTGAATTTTCAATTCTTAATCAAATTTTTCAAGTCGTACCGTAAACTTCGATGTCTGAAACAAAAAGTTATTTTCACCACGAACCTTAATAGCTTTACTTTTCATGAAAAAGATAGTTCTTCTGACTTTAAAAAATCTCCGCGGGTTTCTCATTAAAATTTTAAAATTTCCAGTGGCGACAAAGCGTTAAAACAATACCCAGTCGGTTACAAATGAAAATTGAAGGAAACACTCCAAATAAAGGCGCGCGAATCAGGAAAATCAATTGTTATGATTTTTCCAATTTGTAAGTCGGGGGTCATAAAAGCTTAAATTAGAATATTTGACTTGATCATTGTCACATTTATCAGCTGCAAGTTAAAAAAGAAACTCTCTAAAAAGTATCCATCAAAAACGTGCATGAACAAATTAAATTTGTTTCCAAGATTAGATCGATTAAGTCGATCAGTTCCTATTGTCGCGAAGGTGAAAAGTCAAGGGGCGAATAACTGTGGAGCTCGAACTTGGGGATGAAATTTTCTGTATTGCGATTGCACCAACCTTTTATTCTTTTTGCTTGCCTCGATCGTATCAAGAACTAATCTTCAGAGTTATCTGAATTATTTTCCGCACGTCAGTAAAACCAGAAAAATATCAGTGCATTTTTCGTTGGGTCTAATTGCCAAAAGATTTATTGATTTTCCTCTCAGTCACCTGAATTCATGTCTGCTATCGAAACTCTGATCTTTACCTTGTGCCTTATGACGCGAAACTCCTCAGAGGAGTCGTAAGGCACCAAAAAACACAAATGTGTTTATTTTCTTTATTGGGCAATGGGTGAATTGGGAACTGAGCTAATTACAGACTTTTAAAACAAAATTACATGAAACCGCCGGAAACAAAGCATCGCCACGAAGTAAAACTGATTGTTAAAGCGTTCTTTGGCTATGGCTATAAAAAGCCCTTTTCTCATCATTTTTCGGTTTTGGTTTTTACCTATTAAACGAAAAAAGCAGATTAATTCACCGTTGTATCACTGGGAAAAAAAAAAGAGCTTGCGTTTAAAAACCAGCGATACCTAATTTAAGAGACGAAGTGATTTGCATTAAGCTAGCCGTTTCCGTAAGCGTTCATAATTAGGACAAAAAGTGCTATGAAAATAAAAAAATGTATTTTGCCATGTGGCGAATTGTTTATCAAAACTAACTACAGTTTAGAATCCTTTTTGGAAAGAAACGGATACAACCACCAGCTAGGCAACTAAGTTTCTAACTTACCAAGCAAAACAGTCACCTTTTACCATGATAATCATCTCGACAAACAAAACTTGCCAGCTTTTAGCACGATAACGGAAAATTAACTCTTCAATACTGACACTGGCCGTTTTGCAACATGTTTATTCAATTTTCGAAACTTTCTTTCTTCATCTATGACTTCAAAACCGAACATCTTCTCTTTTTCTTTGTCCGAAGCGAACGGTAAAAAAAAAAAAAAAATCGCAAATCGGCTTATATAAATGTTAAGAATAGATGTGTCAGGTTGGACATTGTAGAAGCCACTTAACGATGTCAAAGTTTATTTGGCTGGCGCTTCGAGATATGTTCAATTTTTTAAGTCGACGAATTCAAAGCAAAAATACTAGCCAACTACTAGTGCAGCAGGAAACTGTACTGTTTTAAAACTTATAGCATTATTCGCAATAATCTTTCAGTTTTTTTAGCGTTAATCACAACTTACATTCAATATCATGACATTGTCACAAGATAATTTATGACTACAACTGACAGAAAAACAAGTTTACGCCAATAGCTCGAGAGAATAATTGCGTCAAAAACTCCACCCAATTAGCGCCGTGAACGTTTCTTCCCAGCTGCAAAATGGCAGCAGACCAATTTGGAATTCTTTGTTATTTTATACGTTTACAAATGGTTGCTTTGAAATAACTGTCCAAAAGAGAAAAAATAAACCTACTTTAACATTGGATGATTGCCGGAAACCCTGTAATCGCCGAGATATATGTTTACTCGTCATTCCTAAGATCAAAGACTCTCTGATCTTTAGAATGACAGAAAGGTTGCTTCGGAAGCAATCTTTTTGTCAGAATTTACGCTTTACAATAGTTCGAATGGTAGAGGTCGCTTGAAATAACTGTCTTATATCGGTTATGGTCGCATCAAACCTTTTAAGAATAGACTGAAACTGGCCTGACTGAATTACTTAATTATTTTTTACACCACGCTGCAGTATACGAGAATAACTGTCAGACCAACTTGCTCAATCCGTTTCAGAAAGCCCGAACGAATTTCTCACCTAGTGCGGTGCTAGAACAAGCTGCGAACAGAAATGAGGTATCTCAAAAAATAAAACATATTGTAATGTTAACAACTTAAATAGGCTAACAGACAGTGGTACCTGGTTCAATTGAAATGTTTTTGTGCTCCACCACAGTGTAATTGCGCAGAGATTTCACTTTGGGCAGTTTAAAGTCAACCGAGGTCTTCACTGACGAGTAATTACGTGATCATTAAGAGAACGCTTTGGGAGAACCGTTCAGTCAGATATGCGGAATGTTCAAAACCAAATCCCCAAAGTGACACGAAGCTTTACGTTATCCATTTGGACACTAAGAGTTCAAGAAGAAGTGGACAAATACTCCGTTTCAGCTTTTACAATAATATCATCTTCCCTAATTTAAGAAGTTTTCTGTTCTTAAGCCACTACGATCAGAGTAAGGTTATCTATGTTCTCATGCAACAGTCGGAAATGAAACATATTATCCATCAACAAACAGTTGTGTACTTCCACAATTATTTTATTTCTGAAAGCAACAATCGGAAGTCCATTAAGAAACCACTCCGATAACTAAACAGTTTACTTAATTAAGCTTGAGCTGGATTCTGCAGCAACGAGCGTTCAAGTGTCTCCACTTGAGAAATCTCCAAATCCCAACTACTGTCCATGTACGGACACAAGTTTATATGCCCACCGCTCACCAATAAAGAAAATAGAGACGAAACAAGGAATTGTGGGAATGTTTGTGATATTGCATGACTTATCCGTAAATAAAAGATAAAATGTAATAAGATATATTTTTTTGGGAGCAAATGAAAGATAAAATGTAATAAGATATATTTTTTTGGGAGCATAAGTTTACTCGATCGTTATCGACAGGACCCCAAAAGAAGGTTTAGGACAAAGTGAAAAATTTATACCGATGATAATTTGAAATGAAATTAAGTAGGTGGGCGTACTATTTCTCTGACTTGAAAATTGCAGTACGCTTTGTTTAAAAAATGGCCCAACCTGTTGTTTTTTTTATCTCCATTGCTGAGAAGTCATGAAAATTTGCTAGTAATATACGCAGTAAGAAATGATGTAGACTAAATAAGGATAAAGAAACTGACTTTATTATCTCTCTGAGAACAGCTGCAGTCAGGAAAGACAGGCAAAGTAAGCTATCACTGAATCGACCTTAACAATGAAAATCCTGCCATAATGGTGTAAAATTCGAATATCGGCGAGTCTCATGTGAACCAATGCATTCGATTTATTTACCCTTCTGGTTATTTGTAAAATAAATTTGACAAGGCCGCCAAAAATCATATTTGCGGCTACATGAGTGGCAGGAAATTTCAATCGGTAATTAGAACCTGCCACTTGCATTTCTTTTTTCTTTTTTCTTGCTTGATATTCACTATGATTAGATAAACAATCGTTATAACCTAGTAATTTTAGGAGAATCGATTTTCGCTGGCAGCAAATATTTACTATATTAATTGATTAGAGGGCAGGTATTGGAGATTGTTAACCCAGCGCCACAAAAAAAAAAAAAACAAATAAACAAACAAACAGCGATGCAACCTTTGTACCATGATAAAGTTTTCGAAAATCTTTATAAATTCTGAATCGTCTTTCGAGTACAAATGATCACATTCAGCAAGTAATTATTCGCGTTTAAATCAGGAAACAAAGCAAAAACGGTAAAAAGATATCGAGCGCTGGTAACAACAATCCAATGCACCTTTCATATACATAGCCAGCAGCTTAACATTCGTTAACCGTAAAAAACTATTATTAAACTTCCCTTTACTCTGAAAATAGGAATAATTTCAAAATCGCATGACAAGTTCTAGAGACACGCGACTGATGAGTGTGTGTGTGTGTGTGTGTGTGTGTGTGTGTGTGTGTGTGTGTGTGTGTGCGTGCGTGTGCGTGTGTTTCTAAAGTAGCAAAACGGTCCTTCTAGTAATTTAAGGCCCTGTCTAAGCTTCAAGCCTTGCATGTGTTTATGGGAACTTCGACTGTTCAGCGACTTTGATTTAAACGTCGAACTTTTCATGTGCCAAATATCTTTGCAATCTACATTTGTATTTGTGCGTTACACTTGGATTTCCCTTCTTTCATCAAAGGAAAAATTTGAGTGATTAAGTTTGACTATTAAGTAAACCATAAAACTTTACGGACTGGGTCAACTCAATTTTTAAATTTAATTTCCATTTTTTCACTTTTGATATTTAAGTTTAGCACATGAAAATTTTGACATCTGAGCTGTTCAAACATTTAACTACCATAATTCATGAACATGTCAGAGCAGTTTTTAATTAAGTGTCGAAAGTGATCTTTGATTGCTATAGTTTTGCATTACTTCGCTCTGTGAATCTCAACTAGTCAAATGTAAAAATACAAGCAATCCCCACTTGGCGAGCACTTGCGTTTTCCTGCGCTTCAATCAGGTTGCCTGTTAATACTTCGAGTTCTCATTGGTTAAATAACGATGACGTAACTTTTGTTCTGATTAGTAGATGTGGTCACTTTGGTTTTGGGTTTTCGACACTTCATTGAAAACTGCATTAACAGATTAAGATCTGTAATACATTGTCGAGCACATAGGTTATGAAAACAGAGAAACGCATCAGCTGTAGGGTGTTATCCTGATTTAGCACTGAATTCTCTCAAATGCATTACAGGAAAATATAGGTTTGTTGAAGAGAAGAATAACTTGTCAGGCCTGGAGAGTTAGAAGACTAACAGGGGGAACTGACTTGAAGGTTCGTTTTGCATTAATAGTGATCTAATTATATGGAACATCTTGAAGAAGCATTTTAAGATTCTCAACGTCGCAGCCATACAACTCATTAATTTGTTTTATATCGTGTTTGCTGAAGCTTTCCCGTTGACCAAACCGTCTGTCTGGGTTATCTCTGGACTCGATAGTATCACGGTAGTCCTTAGAAAATGCGTGGTTATTGTAATGTAGAACAGACTGAAAGAAAAAGAGCGAGAAATTTACAACGTGAATGACACTTAACTGACTACCCTGGCCTGACTTAAACACTGACAAAATTCTTAATCTCTCGCGCATTAATCATTCTTCGGGAGTTTGACTTCTCGACCGGTGACCCAGATCGAAAACTCGGCGAAATTTGTGCCGAAATAGTTATCAAATAGTTCCTAGAGTCTACAATAAAACAGAAAAAACCCGTTCAAGATATTCGGAACAAAGATCTCAATTTAAACGGTGGATTCAAAAACTTTTCGGAAGCGAGAAGACCAGCCGGGAGCATTTTTAAAGCTTATTCTAATGATGTGTCAATCGAAAGTCGATTCTGATGCCGAGACGTTACAGAATTTCCTCAGAAGAAGCAGCGTTAGCCCAGCTATTTGGGAGTATAAGTTCCAAGTTCCAAGTTCCAAGTGGAGTAAACTTAGTTTGAATGAAGTTTTTTACTCGCCGATTTTGTGATTTTTATCACGGTCAATCTTTATTGAACGTGCATCATCTGCCATCGATTTCCAAAGCTTGCCTCCCATCTTGAGGAACTCGGCGAGTTTTCCAGCAGAGTTCGACATCATGGCACCTGATAGAGCTTAATCCAAACAACAAACAAAACCTTGCTTGGCTGAAACAATAATGGTAAAACCAACTTACATCATAGTCGTAGAACTCTTTATTTGATGGCAGCGTCTTCACTTCCCTTACTGTGTACTTCTCAAAGTTATGTTCTAAACCTGATATGGAAAACAGAGCCGATGTTAAGCCAAAGACGTCCTCACAAATCAGTAATTTTTTTTTTAAAAAGGATGCATAAAATAAAACAGAAGAGGAACCTTAAAGTAACCACTAGCCCACGCAAAATCTCTGCCAGCCAGTTGAATACAAGCCAGCGCAACTTTTACTAACAATTTCCAAGAGAAAATAAACTAAGTCCAGTTCATATTCTCCTGCAATAGGCCATTTCCGAATTACGTTTGGCCTCTTTTTCAAAACGAGGCCTGGTGCTCAACCATAGTACGAAAATGAGTTTAATTTGCATGTGAATGAAAACTTATTACAATACGAAAGGATGAGCACCAGGACTCGCTTTGAAAAAAGAGGCTAAAGGAAATTCAGAAATGGGCTATTTCTGGTAAGCCCCCACCCCCTTACCCCTTAATCTGTGACGGTCTGCACATGATTAAGCAAGCGTTAGAGGTGCAGGTAAACTTTCATCGATACAACAGAAACAGATGAGGCGTCCGACTTTGTAACATCATAATCAGCAAACATAAACGCAGTCAAATGAAACTTAGTGACAGGTATGTGAAAGGGAAAGACGCCCCAGAAATACACCATGTAGCACGTGCAAATGACTCCTAAACCAAGTCAGTTCCCATTGCAGTAAGCGACAAGGAGTATTACCGAGTTAACCCAGCAGTTCACTGATGCCTATTCATATTCTTTGTATTTATTACGAAAGAGAGCAACACAGCAATCCACTTAGCTTCCCAGACCTCCCAATTCAGAACCCGGCAATGACTAAGCCAATATAGTTAACGCCCTCACCTTGCTTTATGCGGTCGTAGAAGACCCGAACATATTTATCTCTGTCAGGTCGAGACTGTTCGTGAATAAAGCCTATTGTGTGCATCATCTCGTGAATGCAAGTTCCGACCCGTTCGCATCCGTCTCCAATGGAAATGTCCTGTCTCCCACCTTGTCTACCAACACTTGAGTAACACCTGAAGGGAGAAAGAGTGTGTGCCTGTCACTGTCAACCCAATCAATAATCAATACCAACACTTGAGTAACACCTGAAGGGAGAAAGAGTGTGTGCCTGTCACTGTCAACCCAATCAATAATCAATACCAACACTTGAGTAACACCTGAAGGGAGAAAGAGAGTGTGCCTGTCACTGTCAACCCAATCAATAATCTTTGAGACTATCGAATATTATCGAATAAATATGGAGAACTACACAAAGGTGTGTCGAAATTTCTCGATGAAATGAAGTAATTGTATGAACAAGACTAAGTTTAAATTAACAATTGGTTCATACGTCAGCGTGCGTTCATCGAGATATGAAGCACGCGGGAAGTTTGGAGAGCACGAAAGATGCGCAAGAGTTGCGCATCTTTCTAGAGTTTCTATGAAGCACGCGGGAAGTTTGGAGAGCACGAAAGATGCGCAAGAGTTGCGCATCTCTCTAGAGTTGCTCGAGGCTACGCCTCGAGCAACTCTAGCTTCTTGAGTGCTCTCCAAACTTCCCAAGTGCTTCATATCTCGATGAACGCTCAGCTGACGTATGAACGAATTGTTTTATAACATTTTACAAAGCTGTAGTTTATGTGTAAAGGGCAGATATGACCCAGATATTCCTTCTCCTACGCTTCAATGCGTTGTTTATTTAATTTATTTCGGAAAAGTATTTCGCTATGCTTCGATGACCTTGTCTCATTGGTCAAAAACTGACAGGTGAATTCATGCGTGGAGATGAAGCTAGAGTTGCGCGCGAAACGAGATGAAACCGGCGTTGACTGTTTTGTTTTCCCTGTCTCTGGGTTCTTTCTCGGGAGTTAAAAAATCCATTACCAAAGAAAAAGTAGGCAGATCTTGATCGGCTTGTTCGCTTCTTGCCATGTCTAATTTAACTTTTTTTCGGAAGTTTTTCCCGTTTTTTAATGAAAAATGGTGAAGTCACTCGCGAGAAAAAAAATTTTTTCGCGAGGCACTTGTTTGCCGACGTCACCAGCGTGCATAATGAACAATTGAAGCACGCTCGCGCTATTGAAATTGATTGCACGAATTTACAAGCTGTTATAAAATAAATTAACTTACATGCTCTGGTTTACCATAAAATGCGCGTGATCCACTTCGTCTGCGCTTTCGTCCTCTGCCAGAGGTTCGTATCGTATACAAGTATACTTGTTGAAAGAAGAAATTGCGTTAACTAAACATTCCATCTTTGTAGGGTCTGCAAAATAAAAAGAGGTATATAAAGTAAAAATGAGGCACTCATAGAATGTACTGGAATATTTATAAATAATGTCTGGTTGTTATCAAATGGCAGTTGTAAACAGAACTTCGAAAAATTTCATGCTGATCGGATTTTTACTGATTGCCAAATTTCTTCGACGAGCAGTATTCAATTTTTTCACAACCTCCGTGATGAAAAGTGGAGAATGTTTTCTTGAGACAGACGCATTGTGATGCTTACTGATTAGTGCTGAACCATCAAACTGCGCATGCGGTCTGTAAGTAGTAATTACTAATTCACTATTTCACGAAAAAGTTCCAAATGTTGTTCTTACTTTGAGTGAATTCTTCTGATTTCATGTAGGGTACTCTTACGATTCTTTTACCATCCCGTAAAGTTGTAGGCCACAAATAATACACGTCATTGATCGCGTCTCTTTTGTCAAACTGACCAGTGACCCATGAACGCAGGCGACGGTCCATGACGATGTCCTCTTCGAAAAGGTCTGTAAAAAAAGCAAGGAAAAATCAGTGAAGAAACCGCTAACCTGATTAAAACGTTGGACAGTGGGCAATAAAAATGAAACAAAAATATTAATAAATGAATCTTTATTAATCACAAAATGAGAGTGTACGCCTTATGTTCCAATAAATGCAGTCCCTTTGGTTTCTGAAATTAGCACTAAACACCGACTGTGAACGCCAACAGTGGCGATTTGGACTTTTGCAAACTGTTTGATATTGCTCAGAAGATGGCAGAATTTTGAAATTTAAACACTAAGCAGAACTGAAAACAGGTCGTCTTCCCGACATTGTTTGCCCCATTATTTTAGCTGAAAGTCGCACCTCGAAAGTTACATCGATCTGCACTATTCTGAAAACGAGTAAGCGACAAATTTTAGTAAAAACAACCATTTAATCTCGAAGAGTCTGTCCGAAAGCTAGCAAAATAATTATGATAATTTGTATCTTAGCATAAAATCTTGCAAAAGTTACTATGAATACCCACCTCCATCAGCTGGTAAATGATCAAAGTTTCTCTTCTGCTCTCCTTTCTTAAGTTTCTCTTCTTCTCTCCTCAAAGCCAAATCATCGATGGCGGTTCCTACCCCTTCTTCAATTTGGTCTGTTAAAGAAGAAAACGATATCGTAAGGATTTAACAATGGCACAGAAAAAGGAGAAAGAAACGTAAAAGTAACTCTTACAGTTTTAAAATTCTACAAGTGGTTCCATCAAATTACAAATCAACGACGCAAAGTAGTTATCAAGTTCCAATACGGAAAGAACATCGGTCACACATAGGTGACCTATTTTTTTCAGATTGTCAGTTACTTTTCAATTAGGTAGATTGGGATTCAGTTCTACAGTAAGGTCAAGGATCCATATAATTTCAACCCCCATTC